GATAACTACTTTTCACTCTCATTCCTCTTCTTCGTGAGATGATTCTCATATGGTTTTACCTGCTGCATGAAGGCTTTCTTCGTGCCCTAGCTTATCTTTTAGCCTTAGGTCTGAAATGCCCCAAGCCAGGTACATCAAAGGTATGAGAAAGAGGCAGGAACTACATAGTAACTACATCTCATCTCTCTACCACTGACTAGATTAAAGACTACAATATCAAGTCAAGAAATGAGTCACATTAACTTTTTTGACATGGCTACGGTGGATTAAAAAGGAGGACAGTTTTTGACACCCTCTTATACGCTGTCTGATTAAAGATAAAGCTTTTCTCATATTGTACGTATGGGGCAGACACACCAACATAAGCTAAGCTCCTACCTAACGCCAAACTGAGTACAGGGAATCACCAAACACACATTACCTTTGAGGCTTCAACAAGTTTATCACAGGCTCCACACCGATACAAGTTATCATTTTCAAAGTATTCTTCTTCCACATACATGTTCCACAGTGCCTCCTCCAAGCCAGCAACACCTTTCACAGCTACTGTTAAGTCTAAGAAATCTTCCTACACAGAGACACAACAACAAGAATATTAAGTAATAAGCAATGCAAGTTAATGGTACATTAGAAAGACTCTCCTCAGATCTGCTGCACTTAATGAAATCATTCATTTTGCTTTCACTGTTAACAGGCCAAAACACATATCCACAGAATAGGAATTAAATCATTTTTATTTTCTAAGTAAGATTTTTTTCTTAATTAAAAAGAGCAAGAGGAAAAAAGGTGAAAAGATGTGTTTTACTCTTGTTACCTCACTGCTCACCTCTCTGCTAAATGCATCTACTAAAGGCAACACTTTGCAACTCAGAGGATGCAGTAATGCTTTTCCCACCTCTGCTCACCCATGAGTCACTTCACACATCCCAATGTAGGTGGTTTAGAAAAATGCCAGCCAAGACGTGCTTAAGTCATGCATAATTTTAAGTCTGCACTGCCCTACCCATATATCCAACCCTGCTTAAATTCTAGGTAGAACACTGACATGCAAAAATTTTTTGTTTGTTTGTTTTAAATAGCAGTTAACTAACAAAAAAAACCCACATTTAAGCCAACAGAAATATCACAAACAGGCTGAATAAATTCTGATGAAAAAACAGAAAAGGCACTTTACCTGTCTCTCGCTGACATTTTTGCATTCTTTGCAGACAATCTGGTTGACAACAATCCCATGGTATAACCGGTTAATAATGTCATGACCTGAAGTCCCAACAAGGGAAGTTTCCAAAGCACTGAACAGAATTCGATTTAATTCCTGCACATCATGCTGCCTCATTTCCTGCATGAGGAAAAGAAAACTTGAAAAAAAAAAAA